GCAGCCCGGCGCCACCAGGTCTCCCCGTCACCAGAGACCCCACCCGAGGCCCCATGCCCTTCCAGCGCCCGACCCCATCATCCCTCGCCCCTAATCCAGCCCGAGCCCACGCCCTCCGCTAGGAAAACACCGACCTGGCCACACACTCTTCAGGTGTCCCCGCCCCGCCCGGCGGACACTCACCCACAGCAGCTGCTTCCGGAGCCCGCGGATGGCCCTGGCGTTGGCCTGGGACTGGGAGACGCACACGGTCAGGACGAGGCTTGGGGGAGGAGGGGTTCACGGTCAGGCTCCCCTGGGAGCACAGGTGCCGCCTCCGACTTCCTCTCCCCACCCAGTCTCTTCCGTCTGGCACCGCCTCATCTGAAGACAGGGCCCTCCCCTCTCCTCCAGCAGGGCCCACCAGTAGCTCAGCTGCGGGTTCTGAGGCCTCTTCACCAGACCCTGTGCTCCTCCCACGGTCGTGCAATGCCCACGACATCCCAGAAGGTGGCCCAGAAAGTGCCTGCTTTGCAGGTGAGGCACCTGGGGACCCAGGCCCTGGGCGCCTGCTTCTCTGGGCTCTCCGCCTGGCTCCTGGATCCCATGAGACTGGCTGGGGGTGCCCAGGTCTCCACCACCCCCATGGGAGGAAGAACCCCGCTCCCAGGTGCCCCCTCCTGTGGCCCCTAGAGGCACCTGAGCGTGAGGAGGAGAGGAAAGCTGAAGGCGTGGGAACTGAGGTAGTGGAGGGCACGCTGGCCAGGGGGCGGGAGCCGGAGGGCCACCAGCTCTGGGACCACCTGCCAGGGGGCCGAGTAGTTGGTGAAGAGGCCGCAGTCCCAGGAGGAGTGGATGCTGGAGAGGGATGGCCAAGGGGGGCTGGTGTCAGAGCGCGGGGCAAGGAGCTGCCCTCCCCCCAGCCTCCCGGTGGTGCCTCCCCACCCCCTCCCTCACCTGGTGACCACATAGCCCAGGGGCACCACTGCCAGGAGCAGGCCCAGGAGCAGCACCAGCTGGAAGAAGAAGGTGGAGCTGGAGGCCCGGAAGAGGCGCCGAGACGCCCTGGAGTTCCTCAGGAGGGTGTACTGGGGGCAGGCAGAGCACGCAGGAGTCAGCAGTTGGCAGGCCCCAGGGGTCCGAGCCCAGGGCAGGGGGTGCAGAGCAGAGGCAGCCCAGCTCGGCCTGGCCCCAGGACACACTCAGGGCGCCCACCCAGCTGTGAGCCGGCACCTTCTTGATGTAGAAGGTGAGGAAGATGAAGATGCTGTTCAGCAAGGGCAGCAGGGGGCAGTAGAAGAGGCCCATCCAGGTGACTGTCTGCGCCGCCACGATGTCCAGCACGTTCTTGGGGACCAGGAACTCCTCCCGGTCCAGCCAGGTCCAGAAGCGACCCGAGAACCGCTCCACCAGCAGCCTGGGGGGAGGGAGGGTAGGCTCAGGTACCCACTGTGGGGGACGTGTGGGCTGCATTGGTCATGGCCATGGACCATGTCTTGCTCACACGGACATCCACGTGTGGACCTGGCTCACCCTTGGCTGTGGCCACCGGCCATCCCCAACATGCCCACGCCACCCCCTTGCTCCGTGTCCCCGCTCAGCTCACCTCCGAGGCAGGCTGACCAGGAAGGCGAAGGCCACGGTGAGGAGGAAGTTGAAGGTGCTCAGCTTGTACAGTTCCTGCCCCACAGAGTTCTCCCAGCACTGGGTGCAGAGGGAGGGGACCCGTCAGCCCCCGGGTCCCCAGCCTTCCCTCCCTCACCCATCCTCACGGGGGCAGGGGTTCTCTGTGGCATAGGAGCCTTGCTTGGAGGTGGGTATGATTGCTAAGTTAAAACCAGGCCTGGAGAACAGGATTAGAGCAGGGAACCCCCCACAGCCAGGGCTGTCACACTGCACAACGCAGTCTGGGGCAGTGGCGTCCCCTGGAGGTGTGCTGCTGTATGGGCATCTCTGCTCACAGCTTCTCTCAAAGGTGAGACCCCGAAGAAGGGGTGACAGGGAGAGACTATAGGGGCAGGGACAAGGCTCTGCACGGTTTGAGATGGGACTTTACGGAGGATGGGAGGGACAGGCCCTGCCAGGCTGCCAGCCACCTGGTAGTCACAGGCGTTGTAGCCGTAGGGCTCACAGCTGGTCTTGTTTCTGCCGATACACAGCACCGTCTGACCCAGCGAGAAGGAGAACATCCCCAGGCTGGCCAACTTCAGCACCACGCACCTGGGGGCGGGGGCTGTGTCAGGGGGCGGGGCCCAGGCCCAGGCCCAGGGGCACCGGCTCCACCCAGGCTCCAGTGTAGCTGATGTCTGAGTGGGATCCTGTCCTGTCCTGGGCCAGCCCCTCTGAATCCAGAGCCCAGCCTCCTTCCAACCTGCTCCGTCAGCAGCAATGTTTGCCAAAGCGCCTTCTCAGAACCCGTGTCTCCAGATGATTCACGGGAAAAGGGTCCTGCTTTTACATTAGTTTGGGAAACACTGCCCAGTCTTCCCTCTGCATTTGGCGTGGAGATTCATACATGACAAGCCTGCAGTAGAGAAACCTGTGGACCTTTCAGGGTCCTTATTGCAGACGAGATTCCTTTCTTCGACCGCCTGTTAACGTCCTCGCCCGCTGACACTATCTCGCATATCATGACCATGTGCCTTGCACGCTTACTGCACGAAGCCTAACCGGACCAAATGGGTATGACTGCCTGCGCCAGGACCACTGCGTGCACGTTCTCTGTAAGGGTGGCCCTTCCCAGTGCTGCCTGGGGCTGGTATGATGGCTAAGTTGAAACCCAGGCACTCATACCACGTGAGTGGCTGGGAGCAGTGGTCCTGTTGAGGGAGGCTGGGGGGAGGGGTGGGTGGGAGCTTATTCTTTTATCTTTCATCCTTTTGAGCAGTTTGAATTTTTTACCACGTGCATGTGTTATAACCTGTTCAAAAATAAAGTTGCAAAGCAAACCAAACACAGCTGACATTGGAGGAAGCGGAGGGGAAAGGAGGCAGGGCCAGTGTGGGGAGAGGATGGAGGGAGGAGAGGGAAGCCAGCTGGAGCTCGGGGGCTGCACGTGAGCTGCTGGGTGGGTTGGAGAGGGGCTGGGGGTCCAGACAGGACCTACGTGTTGAGATGGAGAATGGGAGAGCCTGGGGGTGGGGGAGAGCTTGCATTGGAAACCGCACCCAGCAGCATGGTGAGCTTGACCTTGGCTGGGCACTTCACCCGTGTGAATCTCAGTTTTCTCATCAGTCAAATGGGGATGAGGATGGTCTGGACTTCACAGGTCACGTGCGGGTTGTCAAGGTAAGGGTGTAAAACCCCCAGGGCATGGAAGCTGCGCATGTCCCATGTTGCCTGTTTTCCTGTGTTCCAAGCCAGTTCCCAACACCCCCTGGCAAAACGGTCGTTTGTCAGTGCTTGGTTCAGACTAGTGGCTTTCTTCAGAGTAGGAGACTGAAAAGCTTTGGACCCGGGCCCTGAGGTCATGTGCTGTGGACGCGCCCATCTGCCTTCCCTTTGGTGCAACAGTGAACAAGAAGAGCCTCCCAGCTGGGGACCACTGGGGGACCCAGGCCACAGCCAAGACAGAGCAGCAGGGCCAGACTCCTCTCGTGTCCCCCAGAGGTGGCACTCACCAGATAAGGATGAGGTTGACCTCGGTGTTAGGAGAATAATTCTCCAGCTGGACCAAGAACACGAACAACAGGGGACCCAGAAAGTTGACCAGGGCGATGACGCCAGGGGGCAGGTACTGGAGCAGCACAAACAGGGACTCCTGCGGGAAGCAGCAGGTCAGGGCAGCCCACGGCTAGAGGCCCCCGCAGCTCCCCCTCCCCTGCAGCCCCCTAAAGTGCAGTTCTGGTGCGGGCCCAGGGTCTGGAAGCCACAGATTATTCCCAGCGGCAGCGTGGCAGTCCGCGGATGCCCACAGCGGAGCCGGTCTGACCTGACCACGACCTTGTCATGACTGCTTTAACTGCTCCGAGCCTTGGTTTCCTCATCTGTAAAGTGGGATCATCCCGCCTCCCCCCACAGTTCTGGCACCTCCTTGTTGTCCTGAGAGTACTTGGTGGCCCAGAAGATGGCACTGATGGCCCCAACCACCAGGAGCCCAATGAGGATGTTGACCCGCAGGTAGCTGAGCAGGTGGCAGGCCCTCTGGGCTGGGGACTGCTGCTGCACCAGCTGGAAGCGATGGCTCTCCTCCAGCTCCATCTGCAGGCGTGGGAGGGGAAGGGCGCTGTGAAACTTGCTCACACTCGCCCACTCATTCACATGCACTCGTACTGTCACACCTACTCAGCCATGCGTGCACACACACCCCGCACACTCTCACGCCGAAACGCTCAACTCTCACTCACCTTGAACTCGTTGCTGATCGCATGCTTCTTGATGGTGGCCGCTTCCTGCACCTGGATGCAGAAGTCCCAGGAGGAGAAGACCTTGGAGCTGAGAGGCACCCTGTAGTCCCCATCCAGGAGTGGCTTCTGCGGCAGCCCCTTCACCATCCTGGGGGGTGGGAGACCAGGGGCTGCTGGGGGAGGGGCACCTCGACCCTACAGCTGCGGCCTTGGCTGGGCTCTGGGTCTGGGGTGGGAAGGCTCCCTCAGCCCCGGGTGCAGGCCTTGGGGGCACAGGGTGGTGGCCCTGCCCCTCAGGTCAGCAGCCGGGGACTGCAGCTGGAGCTCGGGCTGGGGAACACCCATGAGCCTGCTGAGCAGGGCCGGGGCCTTCCTGCCAACTGGGGGGCAACCCTGCCAGGAAGGCGTGATCAGAGATGGTGCCTTGGGCAGGAGTGACGGCACAGCTCTGCTCTCACCGCCGCAGGGTCCCGCAGAAGCAGAGGAGCAGGCAGGCCAGTGGGCTGAGGAGGTAGGCCAGGCGGATGCTGTACGCCGAGCTGCTCTCGGGCCCCACCCGGTAGGCGCCATAGAAGAGATAGGTGTTGCTGAAGGCCTGGGGACGTCGACAGAGACGACTGAGCCTGTGTCGAGGGTCAGGCTCTGTCCTAAGTGCTCTCTATCTATGCGTGAGCTCATTAGCCTCCTACAATCACCCCATCAGGTAGGGAGTACCCCCGTTTTACAAGGGCTCACAGAGGTTACACACCTTTGAGAAATGGAGCCAGGACTTGAACCTACGAGCCACATCGGTAACCACTCGATGGCGTCCAGGGATGGGGAGGGTGCTTGTCCCAGAGGCCTGGACACTTCCCCGGCTTGTCGCTTGCACCCCCAGCCCGGCCGGGCTCTGAGGGCTGTAGGCACCTGACCGTGAGCCTGTGCTGTCTGGTGGCCTCTCCCTTTCTTTAACCCCATCGCTAGCCCTGCCAGCCTGTCTCTGTAAAACTCTCCCCCTAGAGCCACATGCCCTTGGAGGGTCCTCTTAGACTGGAGTCCCCTGAAGCCAGTTCCCTGGGTCTTCCGGGCCCCCTGGACCATAGCCAGGAGAGACCTCACTCACCCTGCCAGTTAAAACATTCCAAAGTTGATTGTGGAACTTCGGGACACCAGTCTGGGGCTGGTGGCTGCTGGGGCACTGGAGGGCTGTTGAGGAGGGGGAGGGTCCCCAAAGCATAGGTGAGGCTCTGCTCTTACCACTCCATAGCCCCCAACCCTGGGGAGGCCTGGACCAGCCCACGGTGGTGCAGGTGGGCTCTGGGGAACCATTCCCTGCCTGGGCACTCACTCAAGTTCATGGCGGGGCCTGGGTCAGGGGGGTGGAGCCAGGCCAGGGGCAGCAGCACGAAGCCGGCCGTGACCAGCACCGTCAGCAGGTTGAGCAGCAGCAGGAAGCGAAGGAAGGTGAAGTAGGACTGGATTCCAGTGCCAAAGAGGCCTGGGGGGAGAAGAGCAGGGTGGGTCGGGGGCAGACCGTCCGAGGGCTGACCCGCCAAGCAGGGTAAGAGTGCCCAGCCTTGCTTGGACCTGCACACGTCCAGCAGGACCTCTGACAGCCACCAGGGAGTGCTGTCATCTGCTGGGTTTGTCCTGGCTGTCTGGGAAAGGGGGCGTGTGAGGATGGAGGGGCTGGTTGGTGGGGGTGGACCAGGGCAATGGCAGTGGGGATGATGCCTTACTCCCTTTTCCAAACTGGACATTGACACTCCAGGGAGGGCGAGGGGGAGTGGGGTTGGCGCTCGGGTCCTACCCCCGATCTCGTAGAGAGACCCCTCCCAGAGCCCACAGCCCCGGGCCAGCCGCTGTGCTGCCTCCCCCAGGCGCCGTCCTGCCATCTGCCGCCTGCGCTGCCACGACTGCCAGCATGAAGTCTTCACCCCCTCGGGCTCCCGCAGCTGCCTGGGGTAGGAGTGGTGATGGGGGCACCCCAGAGTCACCCACCCTGCCCACCCGGGCCAGGCTGATGGCGCGCGGGCTGGGGGATCTTCCCACAGCGCAGGATTCGCACCCCCATCCCACGGGTGCACCCTCGCGGCGCGCCCCCGCCCCCAACCCCGCGGCCAGCCCGGGCGGGTGGCACCCACCGGATGAAGCGCTTGTCGGCCATGGCGTAGGGCAGCGTGCGCACGGCCGCGCGGGAGGCGCACAGCCGCTCCATCTCGGACTCCCACAGCCCCTCCGCGGCCGGCTCAAGTTCCGGCCCCCCGGGGCCCTGTCCCGACTGCACCGACCACTGCCGCAGCATCTCGGCGGCCGGGGGTTGAGGCTGGGGGCTCCGGGCTGCGACTCCAGCTCCCAGGAGGGACGTGGGACGCCAGGTGGGGGAGCCTCAAGGTCTTGGCTTTGGCATGCCCAGAAATGAAGATAGAGAATCCTGTGGGGTCGGGGTCTGGGCTCAGTCCCGCTCCAGCTTTCAGAGCGACACATGGCCAGGGGCCTCCGTCACCCCATCTGCCAAATGGGGCGAAAGTACCAAAGGGCTGGGAAAGACGGACCGGACCGTAACTGACAGAGCCAAGGCCTGCTCCATCCCACCCCTACCTGCCACCTGCGGCGCAGGCCTTCCGGGTCACCTCAGGAGAGAATTGTCCTCTGCACCTGCCACTTCGCTCTTCCGGAAGAAGCTCCTGTCTCAAGCCTTGACGGCTCCTAGGATCCGCATCCTGCAGCGCCCGGCTTCGGAGGTGCAGGGACCCCTCTGCCTGTCTTCTCGCAGTCCAGCCCCAGGCCTGGGTCTGCTCAGGGTTCCCCCAGGAGCCCACATGAGGGGGCGTGGCGACAGCCCCAGCCCTGGGAATAGGACCGGGGGACCCCACTGCTGCCCTCGCAGCGGCTCTAACACACCCCCTCGCCCTCCGCCTCCTCCCCCTACTCTGCATCCGGCTCACCTGGGGACCAAGGGACCAAGTCCCCGGAGGAGCCCCCTCCTCCGAGGGCTCCCGCCACGCCAGGTGGGGCTGTGAGGGAGCCGGGGGACGGGTCACGTGACAGGAACCCCGGCTCCCTCCGCTATCTGCTCCCCGTCCCTGACCTCTCTCCTCCCCCCTCCCCGTTTCCTCTGCTCTAACTGAGGCGGAGCCGGCATTTCCTGCGCGCTGGGCGGGGGTCGGGCCCTTCCCTCCGCGCCGGGTCTTGCCGGCCTGTGGAGGCCGCACCGTGGAGGTCCCGCGCCCCAAGCCGAGACTGGCTCCTGTGCGCTCGCCCGGGACCGCCCCGTTCCGGCCGCGGGCCGCGGGGTGCAGGGACCGGGTCCCTATCTGCCTGCCGCAGGTCGCCCTGGAGGTCGCGATAGGACACAACGTGGGCCCCATGGCACCGGGCTGCTGGGCTTCCAGGAGATCTTGGCCTTACTGCTGAGCTTCGTGCCTCCGTCACTGGCACCGCCATTATGCCATGGCCGCGGCCTAGTGCCCGGCCATAGTAAGCGCTCAGCAGTCGGTTCCATTCACGTCCCTCCCGGGCGAGGTTTGAGAGTCATCTTGGCCAACTCCCTGTCCTCGGATCTCCTGGGAGGCCCCAGTCCTGCCCTTCCTCCTTGCTCCCTCTCTGCTTCCTGCAGGGCCTGGCCACCTCAGGTCTGAATGCTCCCCGGGCTTTTCTGCCTCCTGCGGGCCTCCCTCCTGGACTCCATAGCCTCCCCTCTGTGCCAGGCCCCAAGCTGGGTGCTGGTGCCAGGGAGGCACGCAGTGGGCTGGAGGAGGTGGTGGTGGGGAGAGATCCACAAATGTACACATCAATATGAAGTGGCAAGTGCTCCTCTGAGGCTTAATCTAGGAAGGCTCCCTAGAGGAGGTGGCCTTCAAGTTGGGCCAGGGGTCATGCAAGTTCAGTGTGGGTGTGCAGGGAGGGGAAGCAGTGGGAGGAGAGGCAGGGCTGGGCAGAACCCAAGGTAGCCCACCTGAAGACCCCACTGACTGCTGCAAAAGGCTCCAGCCTCAGCACTGCCCTTGTCCAGCTGTAAGTCCCTTCCTGCGTCCTTGCTTTTGCCCAGGCTGCTCCGGCCAGGAATGCCCCTCCCCCTCCAGATGGGCTTGGGGGCCTCTCTCAAAGCCAGGTTCCTCCATAGAGTTCCCAGAAGGCCCACGAGTCACGCCCGCCCCTGCAGGATGATGAACCTCTCAGCCTCAGTTTCCTCATCTGTGAAATAGGAATATCATGCCTACCTTCCTGGCTCGTGGGGATAACAGAAAACAGCACTGGGCACAGCAGCTGGGGACATTCACAGCGTCAGTGCATGCTCCTTCCCCCTGCGCCCCACCTAGCACTCAGGAGTGTGCCAGAACTCTTGCTGGATAGGCAACAGGAACCACGCCCAGCCCAGATGGAGCAGGGGAGACACCCTCCACGGTGGGGGTAGGGGGGAGGCTTGCTGAGGAAGGGGGAAGGGGAGGAAGGGGAAGGGGGTTACCCAATCTCCTGTCAAAAGGCTCTGTGTTACTGGGGCCCCAGGCATCTTATTTGGACAATCTGTAGCCATGGGAAGCTGATGGGTCTGGAATTAGTGTCCCCTTGTGAACTTGGGAAACTGAGCCGCATAAGAATTGGGGACTTCAATCAGAGATTGAACAGAACCGGGCACTCCGCCGCCCTCACCCTGCTGACACCGCGGGTGGAGTGCGAGGAGGGGTCGGAAGTTGGCGGGAAGGGCAGGTAGCGGCAGGGCGCGCAGAGCAGGGCGCGGGCCCGCGGGCGGGAGCCAGGTCACGTGACTGCCGAGGCCCGCCGAGTGGGCCGGGCCATGAGGTCTGTCCCAGTGGCCCCCAGGGAAACTTTGTCAACTCTCCCGCTGACCCTGCGGGCCCCTCCCTCGGGTGGTGCAGCCAAGGCGCGGCTCCCGGCGGCCCTTGCGGGGCACAGGTGAGCCATCCAAGGGCTCGGCCCCTCCTAGCCGGCGCCTCCCAGGTGAGCGGCCGTGCCCCGGGTTCGGGGTCCCGGCTGGGCCGCAGCCGCGGGGGTGGGGACGACGCTCAGGTCCTGCCAGCCCCTGCTGGTTCTCCCCTGCGGCGGTAGCTCCACCCCCTCCGAATTCCTTTCGGCCATCGGGACCGCTTGGCGGCCGAGCTCTCCTGGGTGTCCCTGGGGTTTGGCTCTCTGGCTTGGACCCCGGCTGGGCGCGGGAGGGGCGGCGGGGGCGGGGGCGCGGGCAGTGCAGCCCCAGGCCACCCGGCCGAGCCCCGCGCACCGGGGAGGGCGGTGGTGTGACCCCGGCCGGGTCGCGCGGGCCGGTACCACTGGCCGCGAGGGGCGGGGACCTGGGTGAGTAGCCAGCGGGGGTCGAGGGGCTCCGGCGGTGCTGCGGTCCCTGGGCTCCCAGGCCAGGTTGCGACTCTTCCTGGGCAGCGGCTGCTCGCGGAGGACTCGTTGCTGCCTGGGGTGGGGGTTCCAGGAAAGGCCCCACCCTGCCCCTCCCCACCTGGCTCAGGAATCGTGCGCCCGGAAACTCCACCAGACCTGCCCCGGCCTGGGGGCAGGGTGCCGGCGCGCTGTGTCTCCGCGGGGCTGAAGTCCCCGCTGCCCAGGCGAGCCCCCACCGCCAGGGCTGGCAGCCGGGTCCCAGCCCCGCAGCCTCCTCGCGCCCCTCGTGCAGGAGAGGTGGTGGAGAGGTGCGTGGGGAGCCTGTGGGCCTAGGCTCGGCACGGAGCTTCGGAGGAAGGAGTCGGCTCCGGGGCCTGGATGGGGCACCCTTGGCCCCACCTCCGCAACTTTAAGGGCTCAGGCTGAGCGGGGGTCCAGGCTGGATTTCCGGGGCTGAGCTCCCGCGGGAGCGGGGAGGGGTTGGGTCGTCGGGGGGTGGGGGGGGAGTTCGGACTGTGCATCCCGACAGTCTGGCACCGTGTCCTGCAGCTCTGTCTGGGCCCCACCGGTCTTGCCCACGCCCTTGAGCTGAGCCAACTTTCCTGAATTCCGAGTTCCCGGAGGGGCGGGGGGTGAGGCTGGGGAGGCCTGGAGGGCAGGGCCGGCGATGCCCAGGCCAGCAGGGCCCTGCCGGAGTCAGCCTGTTGTTCCCACCCCACTCCCACGGGGTGAACAGACCCGAGGCTGCAGCCCGAGACAAGGCCCCTCTGGTTCTGATTGTGTCAGCGACTGTTGGTGATGGTGACGGCAGAGCTGGGACAAAGGGCCTGTTTAAGGCCCGGCCCCCTCCCTGCAGCTGGTGATGGGATGTGGGGGCGTCAGTCTCCTGAGAACAGGAGGACCTTGGAGCCCCCGCGGGGTGACCTGGAGTGACCCTTTGGGTTTGTGTGTGATGTAGCTGGGAGGCCGCCCTGTTTGCTGCTTCCTCCTGGGCTGGGGAGTGAGGCCCAGCGCTGGCTTCCTGCTGGAGGAAGTGTTTTAGGTCACAGGGCGGGCACAGGGAAGGCCCCCCCGAGCTGACCTTTCTCTTCAAGGGGGAGGTGTCTCTGGGCCAGAACCCTGGGAATGGAGGGCAGGGAGGGGCTGTGTCCACAGGTACCCTGACCCTTCCCCATTTCCCAAGGACTGGCGACATCCAGGAAGCAGATGGGGAACTGCAACCCCCTTCTTTCCTGCCTCCTTCCCCCTCCAGCCTGGGCAGTGGAAGGGGCTGTCCCCTGAGTCCATTCTGGCCTGAGGCTTATTTGGGGCCACTCACCTGACTACATGTGCAGCTGTGGCTGGGGCAGGACGGGGGCTCAGCAGCCTGGGCTGTGAGTGGCACCTCCCACAGTCCCCAGGGGAGTGGGCGGTTTGGACCTGTGCAGGGCATTGAAGGCTGACTTGGGCTCAACGCTCCCTGTCTCGTCAGATGTGCAGCGGGAGGCCCTGGAGTCGGTGCCCAGGTTCTGAGCTGCCCTAGGTCTGCAGGCTGGCTGGGTGTGGACTGCAGACATGGCCCAACCGCTGGACTTTGTCCTCGATGTCCCGGAGACCCCAGGGGACCAGGGGTAAGCACTCTGGGTCTGGGGGCTGGTGGGCTGGGGTGTATCATGGCCTGGTGGGAGGAGCCGGGTGGCTGGAGCCTGACGCCCTTACCCCCCTGCAGCCAGGAGCCCAGCCCCTACGATGAGAGCGAAGTGCACGATTCCTTCCACCAGCTCATCCAAGAGCAGAGTCGGTGGGTGGCTGAGGAGGGGCTGGAGCTGCAGCAGAGGGAGCCGGGGGACCCAGGTAAGCCTGCGGCCTGGATGCCAGGACGGTGTGGACAGGGACTTGGGCTTCCCAACCTCTCAGGACAGCCCTCCCAGCAGTCTGCGGGCCTGGGGTGGGGGTAGGGTGGCAGAGACTGCCAGCCAAGGGCACCTCCAGGACCTCTGGCCAAGTCTTTCTTACTTGGTAGGCAGAGGCCACGAGACCCTCCTGGGGCCCGAAGGTGCCCCCGTCCACAGCATGGCCACACTGCGCATCTTGGCCAGTATGCCTAGTCGCACGATTGGTGAGTGGGACCCTCTGTCGGCCCTTGGCCCCGGCGTTGACCCCAGCCTGTGGGCTGGGCCGGGGTTTCAGCCCTGTGGGCTCCTGGCCCACCCCGTCTGCTGCCTGGAGGCCCTGCACAGCCCCATGCAGCCCTCGCTGGGCTCTAAAAATGACTTGGGATAAAAATAGGTTCTTGGGAGCCCAGCGGCGCCCATGGTCTCTGATACAGGGATTTTCCTGGGTCCTGGGAAGGGGTGAGGGATGGCGAGGCCTGGTGCAAGGGCCATCCCGGGGTGGGGGAGGGAGGTCCAGCCCGGCCGGCCCAGCCCTGCCCAGCTGCTTCCATAGGCCGCAGCCGTGGCGCCATCATCTCCCAGTACTACAACCGCACGGTGAGGCTGCGGCGCAGGAGCGGCCGGCCCCTGCTTGGGGACGTGGTGACACGCTCAGCCCGACCCAGCCTCCGCCTCTACGACCTAGAGCTGGATCCCATGGCCCAGGAGGAGGAGGGTGAGTGGGCCTGCGCGGCCCAGAGTCAGACGCCAGCCTGCTGCAGGGAGGGCCCGGGGGTGGCAGAGCCAGGAACACCCCTCCCCTGAGGCTGCCTGAAGGCCTCCCTCTGTCGGGACCTTCGGGGGCAGGGAAGTAGGGGGCTTTCAGGCACAGAGGGCCCGCCCCACGGCAGGCAGGCATTCAGTGCACTCCACAAATGTCCTTTGAGCATGTGGAGGGTTGTGGCCGCGGGCCAGTCTTTGGGGATGCGACAGTGGAAAACCGGCCTTCTACTCTGGGGCGGCTAACTGTATGCCCTGAGAGACAGATGTGGACCAAAGAAATGGATAAGCGGATGGGTAAAGCTCAGAGAAGAGAGAAGCTCTGTGCAGAAACCAGCCCAATCTAGAGGGATCCAGAGAGGCTTCCTGGAGGAGGTGGCGCTAGAGCAGAGAGGGCGTGTGCAAAGGTGCTGAGGCCAGTGTGGAGGGACTGGAGAGCGGGGACCATTCTCGCAGGCTGGTCCTCAACCAGCTGAGGAGCTTGGGGAGGTCCCTGACACGTCCCTTCTGCCTGGTCCCTTTGGGCTCTGCCTTCCCAGGCCTTGAGCACTTTCCAGGGGCCCTGCCCCCAGCTGGCGGGCCATGGAGCAGGGCAGGGTGCTGTGGGCTGGGGGTCAGGGCGGATGTTCCTGTTTCACCGTTTACTCTGCAATCCGGGCCAGGTGTCATTTCCTAACTGTAAAATTGGGGTTAGAGTGGCACCTACCTCCCAGCTGGTCTCGAAGGCGCGCCGAGGCCTGTAGCCACCCTTCCAGGCCCACGTTGTGGTGGTGACCCGTTAGAGGAGGCAAGAACTCCTCTGGGTCCTGGAACTTAATGTTGAGGTCCCAGGGGCCCTGGCTGGGCCTCCAGAGAGAAAAGGGGTGGGGGTGGGGACAGCCCAGCGTGGGGGCAGGGACCACCCACCCGGGCCAGCCCGCCCTCCTCCACTCACCCCTTGAGGGCGAGCATTGCTGGGGAGTAGGGGGCATATGCTGGGGCCTTGGTGGGGGAGGGAGGGGACCTGCTGGGCTCCAGGGGGCGGGTGGGAGAGTGAGGGTGGCCAGGCTAGCGGGCAGTCGGGAGCGAGCTTCGTGACAGGCCTGGGACGCCCTGACGGCTGGACCGGGTTCTGGCTTCAACTGGATGGGCAGAGGGGAGCCACTCGGGCTCTGGCCGGGCCTGGTGGGAGGGTGGCCAGAGGCCCATGTTGGGAGGGTGCCTCGGGGCAGACAGGCTTGTCCAGGGTCCCGGCCGCGGCAGGAGGGAGGCTGCTGCGGATGGTCAGGGCCTCCTCGTTCCTCTCTGCAGAGAAGCGAAACCTCCTGGTGAAGGAGCTTCAGGGCCTGTCGGCCGCCCAGCGCGACCACATGCTCCGGGGGATGCCCTTGAGCCTGGGGGAGAAACGCGGCCTTCGGTGAGTGCCCACCCGCTCGTGCGGCCCTGAGACCCACGTCCTTAGCTGGATTGGGTGGTCAGACACTGGGTCCTGAGCCTGTGGGTGGGTGGTCCCCGGAGGCAGTCAAGCCCCTCCTCAGTCCAGGCACCTGTGGCTGCCTCTGTCCCCAGAGAGAAGAGCCAGACCCCGCACGGGAAGCGGAGGGGCCAGCCTGGCCGTGGCGGGCTCTTCTCCTGCTGCAGCCGGCTCCGATACGCCTGCGTGCTGGTAGGGGCTCGCGTGCTGGTAGGGGCTCCTGTGCTGGGCTGGTGGGCGGGGCGGCCACCTTTTCTCCTGCCGCTGTCCTGCTCGCGGGGTCTCCTGCCTGGCTCTGGGCCTGGCAATGGCCAGTCATGGGTCCTGTCCTCCCTCGGCTGGATGCCTGGGGCCTGGGCGTGGGGCAGGGGAGCTCCCCCTCCGGCCTGGCCCTCAGGGCCTCCTGCTGCTGTCCCCACAGGCCTTGCACAGCCTGGGGCTGGCGCTGCTCTCAGGCTTGCACGCCCTGACGCCCTGGCGCTACGCCCTGAAGCGCATCGGGGGCCAGTTCGGATCCAGTGTGCTCTCCTACTTCCTCTTCCTCAAGACCCTGGTGGCCTTCAATGCCCTGCTGCTGCTGCCGCTGCTGGCCTTTGTGGTGGGCGTGCAGGCTGCCTTCCCACCGGACCCGGGTCCCGGCCCCCGCCCCACCTGCACGGGCCTGGAGTTCCTCACGGGCGCGGTGAGGGAGCCCGCACGAGCCAGGACATCTGGGCCAGGCAGGGGCGCCTGTCTTCTGCTGCCGCCTCGGCACTGTCTCCCCGTCTTGTCCCAGCTTTCCTGTGGACCCTATCCCTGTCCCCACCCCATGTTGTGACTCTGGGTGGCCACAGACAGCTGCCCACCTCCCCTCTCAGCTGCTCCTTGGTGTCCACTGTGTCCCGGTTCCCGTGGGGCTGGGGAAGCCCGGGATCGCTGTGGCCTTTGGCCCATCAGTTTCCTTGCTGCCCCCACCTGGGCCCTTCCCCAGGGCTGGCCTCCCTCTGCCTCTTGAGGCCTGAAGATGGGTCAGGGGCGGGGAGTTGGGGGAGTCCCTAACTCAGGCAGGTGTCCCCCACAGGGCTGCTTCACCCACACCGTCATGTACTACGGCTACTACAGCAATGCCACGCTGAACCAGCCATGTGGCCAGCCCCTGGAGGGTGGCCAGTGCAGACCCAGGGCAGGCGGCCTGCCCTACAATATGCCCCTGGCCTACCTCTTCACTGTGGGGGTGGCCTTCTTCATCACCTGCATCACCCTGGTGTACAGGTAATGGTCCTCGACCTTATGAAGCCGGCTTTGGGCACCATTGATCTATCCATCCATCCATTCTTTGACCCATACATTGATCCTTCTTTCCTTCCTTCATTTCCTTCCTTCCTTTTATCCATCTATGCACCCACCTGCCTACCCATACACCTATCCATCCACTCACCCTCATCCATCCATACACCTATCCATCCACTCATCCGCTCATCCATCCACTCATCCACTCATCCATCCATACACCTATCCGTCCACTCATCCGCCCATCCATCCACTCACCTATCCATCCATCCATACACCTATCCATCCACTCATCCACCCATCCGTCCACTCACCCACTCATCCATCCATACACCTATCCGTCCACTCATCCACCTATCCGTCCACTCACCCACTCATCCATCCATACACCTATCCGTCCACTCATCCGCCCATCCGTCCACTCACCCACTCATCCACCCATCCGTCCACTCACCCACTCATCCATCCATACACCTATCCGTCCACTCATCCGCCCATCCGTCCACTCACCCACTCATCCATCCATACACCTATCCGTCCACTCATCCGCCCATCCGTCCACTCACCCACTCATCCATCCATACACTCATCCATGTATTCATGCACTCATCTACCCATCCATCCATCCATTCATCCACCCACCCCCGCATCCCACACGTGTTCCCTGTGCTCAGCTCAGGGCAGGAAGGTAGATTGAGCATGGTGCCTGCCCTAGAGAAGCTTACTGTTCCTGGAAGAAGATAGATCAGTGAATGGGCTGGGACAATCCAGGAGCCCTAGAGGTGTTTGCCCAAGTGTTAGAGGAACACTGGGCAAGGAGTCAGGCTGGCATCCCAGGGGAGGTGGCACTTGCTGCTATATGGGGAGGTTAAGTAAGAATAGGCAGGAAAGAAACAGGGAGGGGTCTTTTGGTCATTGTGATGGGTGGGGCAAAGGCCCTGCGGTGAGCCCAGAGTCTTCTGTACCTTGTCTTGGTGGGGGTCAACCCTGCCCCCTCTCCTAGACACGCGTGGCTGGTGGGCACTCTTGGACAGGGCTGGTCTGGAGTGGCTGGCAGTCTACACCAGGAGGCTGGACCAGTGGTGGGGCACATCCTGCTCTTGAGGGCTCCTGAGTGGGTGAGGGGTTTCAGCCACAGGGTGTCCCATCTGCCTTCTCCCACTGGCCTCTGTGCCCCTCGTCCAGCCCCCACCTGTCTCTGCTCCCCAGCATGGCCCACGCTTTCGGGGAGAGCTACCGGGTGGGCAGCACCTCTGGCGTCCACGCCATCACCGTCTTCTGCTCCTGGGACTACAAGGTGACTCAGAAGCGGGCCTCGCGCCTCCAGCATGACAACATCCGCACCCGGCTGAAGGTGAGCACCTGGGGGGAACCTGGGGCTGTGCCATCTGTCCCCCAACCCCGGCCCTGGAACCCCACACCGGTGGTCCCCAGACCAAATGGCCAGACTGTGGTCCCAAGGGAGGGCTGTCTGTGAGCTGACCTCGGGGCACTGGGGGTCTTCTGCTAACAGGGTCAAGGTGGGCCCTAATTTTCCTTCCTGCACACGCCCCTCACTTAGGGGCTGCCTCTGTTGTCTGCTGCCGGGTGCCAGCACCCACAGCCCCATGAACACCCAGGAGCTGGTGTCACAGAAAACCGCACCTGATGGGTTCCGGGGGGCATATGTGCTTGGGCTGGGGACCCTGGAGTCAAAGCCCCAGCCGGGGAGCTCGGCCTGCTGGCAGGGCCTCTCTGGGGGCCAGCAGGGCCTGCCCTGAGGCCGGGGCTCTGGCGGGCACACGCTCCTGGCGGTGCTAGCTCAGTTGATGGCCACGGGAGCCCAGTGGCTAAGGACTGTTATCTTCCCTGTGCTACAATGAGGAAACTGAGGCACAGAGGTTACGTCCCTTGTCAGAGGTCACGCACGGGGCCAGGAGGCAGCAGAGCCTGACCTTGTGGAAGGTCCTCTGCCTTCCTGGAGTTTCCTATTGTGTGGACTCAGCTATGGCGCAGCTCACGGCCCGCTCCACTGTCCTTGGGGAGCTTGCATTGGGGGCAGGTGCCTTCCATGCCTGGGGGTCTCCTGGTCACTAGGGGCCCCCACATCCACAGGGAACGGGGCAAGGACATCCGGCAGGGCAGCTCTGGAGGCTTCCTGGGACGGGGCTGGGGAGGCAGGCGGGGTCCTGTGTCCTCCTGTGCCTGCAGGGAGGGCCCGGAGCAGGCGGGAGGGGCAGGCAGGCAGGGCTGTCGGGCAGCTGATCCTTGACCCTCGTTCCCCTCAAGCCTGCTGGTGTGTCTGCGAGTGCCCTGGAGCAGGTGACAAGAACACACTGTCCCCCACAGGAGCTGCTGGCCGAGTGGCAGCTGCGGCAGAGTACCCGGAGCCTGTGCGGGAGGCTGCAGCAGGCGGCTGTGCTGGGGCTTGTGTGGCTGCTGTGTCTGGGGACCGTGTCGGGCTGCGCCGCGGCCGTGCACGCCTTCTCAGAGTTCGTGATCCAGGTGCGGGCAGCGAGGGCCTGGCCTTTGCGACTCTGGGCACCTGTCCCGGGGGTGGCAGACCCCGTTCCCACTCCACCCTGGCCACAGGGGTCCCAAGAGCCCACCCACCATGCTGGCGCCACCTCCTGGTCCCTCCTTTGACTCACTCCTCATCCTGTCTCCCGCCCTCCCCCATTTTCTGTCTTTTCCGTTTCTCTGTTCTTTTCCACCAATTGTGCCCCCCAACTTCCGTGTGGGAGGCGAGGGGTGGGCCAGGTAAGGGCGGGGGGGTGCTGTCTGCCAGGTCTGCCCCTCCTCTGCCCCCTCTCCCAGGAGCCCCTACCCCATCGAGGGGCACCGTGGCGACCCTCCCCTCCTCTGCTGCCCTGGCAGGGCCCGGTGGCTGCTGGCCAGGAGGTGGCGCTGCTGGCGCTGCCCGTGGTGGTCTGCCTCCTCAACCTGGGGGCCCCCTACCTGTACCGCGGCCTGGCCGCCCTGGAGCCGCAGGACTCCCCGGTGCTGGAGGTGTACGTGGCCATCTGCAGGTGTGCGGCCGGGCGGGCGGGCCCTGGAGTGTGTCTCCTGTCCCCCGGGGACCCTCCTCAGCCTCCGTTCCCTGCCCTGTGCAGGAACCTCGTCCTCAAGATGGTCATCCTGGGGGTGCTTTGCTACCACTGGCTGGGCCGCAGGGTGGGCGCCCTGCAGGACCAGTGCTGGGAGGACTTCGTGGGCCAGGAGCTGTACCGCTTCGTGGTGCTGGACTTCCTCTTCACGCTGCTGGACACGCTCTTTGGGGAGCTGGCGTGGCGGTGAGTGCCGGGCCTGGCTGCCACGCTCCGGGCAGCCGGGGCTCCCCCACCCTGGCTGGGAGGGGACAGGGTGGCTTATGAGGTTCCCAGGCCTGACCTCCGCGTCGGGGCCTGCGCCTGCGCCCACGACGGCTCTCTGGTAGAAGGTCGCTAGATCGAGAACGCCGGTGAGCCAGGACCTCATGGGCTTTTAGACTGGAAAGGAAAACGGGGTGGAGACGAAGGAAGGGGCAGCAGGGAGAGGCGAGGGGGAGGGGCATGTTCAGAATGTTCCGGTAGCCCGCGTGGGTTCCAGCACTTCAGATGTTTTTTATTCCTTCTTTTTGTGTTTTCTTCAAGAATAGATGAATTTATCCAAGCTCATTCTTATTTGTAAGAACCAAAGAAAATTAAAAAACTCAATAGAAAAATAAATTTAAAAAGAATATATGAATTCAATAGTAATAAAAAAACAAGATTTAAGAATTCAGTAAACTGGTTTTCTTTTTTGAGACAGTCTCTCTCTGTCACCCCTTGCTGGAGTGCAGTGGTGTCATCATGGCTCACTGCAGCCTCCAACTCCTGGGCTCAAGTGATCCTCCTGCCTCAGCCTCCTGAGTAGCTGGGACTACAGGCATGCGCCACCATGCCTGGCTAATTTTTTCTACATATTTTTAGTTATCCAGCTAATTTCTTTTTATTTTTAGTAGAGACGGGGTCTCGCTCTTGCTCAGGCTGGTCTTGAACTCCTGAGCTCAAGTGATCCTCCCGCCTCGGCCTCCCAGAGTGCTGGGATCACAGGTGCGAGCCACCGCGCCCGGCCTAAAAATTCAGTGAAATGTTTGACGCTGGTTCTGCATGTTTGGAGCCGGCGTGTCTGAACCCACCGAGAAACGCTCCTGAGAGGCAGCAGCCGCTGCAGCGAACCCCTTGGGGTGGGGACCAGCATGTGAAGAGACATTTGCTGGGCACCCTAAGGGAAGGGTCAGGATGTCACCTCGGTGTGCGGGTGTCCCCAGGCCCGGGGCACTTTGCAGGGGTGGGGAGCGGGGTCGGTTTCCCCAGGCAGGCCCTCTGGTCTGACCGTCAGGGCTCTCTGCCCAGGGTTATCTCTGAGAAGAAGACGAAGACGAGGCGGAAGCCTGAGTTTGACATTGCCCGGAATGTTCTGGAGCTGATTTATGGGCAGACTCTGACCTGGTGAGGCTCCCCCACTCGCCTCCTGCCTGGCTCCTGAAGGAGGGCCGAGCCCCTTGGTTGGTGCCCCTTTGCCCCTGGGGACCCTGCACCTGCCTCCTCCCGGCGCCACAGCAAGGCCAGCCTGGGACTCTGGAGTGGCGTGGCCGGGCCCTGTCTGCAGCCACTCCTGCTTGCCCTCCCCGTGGTCTCGGGGACGGGAGGACACAGAGGCAGCCTGTCCCAACCCTGCCCTGGGGAGCCACGCAGGGTCGCGCCCCAGCCTCTGGAGTGCAGCCCCCTCCCTCCGCAGGCTGGGCGTCCTCTTCTCGCCCCTCCTCCCCGCCGTGCAGATCGTGAAGCTGCTGCTCCTCTTCCAGGTCAAGAAGGTAACGTGGGCTGGGCGGGCGGCTGGGCCTGGCGGGGCGGCCCCAGCCACTGGGCAAGACTTGGCTGTGAAGACCTGGGACTTTGGAGCCCTCTGCCTCCGAGTGGCCTGCGGCCGGCATCCCGGGGCTGCGCTGGGGTCTGTCCCTCGGCCCGCGGAACCGGCTGGGCCCTCCCCTGTCTCTGGCAGGCTGGGCAGCAGCCGCTGGGTTCACAGGCCGTGACCAGGTGCCTGTGCACTGGGCCGGGGCTTAGGGCCAGGTGCTGTGAGTCGTGAGCCTCAGGCCTTCCTGGCCCCTGGGAAGTGACCTTGGCCCTCTGTCCTCAGCCGGGGGGTGCTCAGTGGCTGAGAACCAGGGACCTTGGTTCTGGCCTGGCTCTGGGCAGCTCCTCTCCCTGCTGGGGCTGCATGTCCCCGCTGTGCCGTGGGGACTGTTCTAGTGGGGACCGAGGGAGCATGCTGAGCAAGGGCCAGATGCAGAGCCCGGCACGGCCGCGACTCAGTCCGCGCAGCTGTCGGGTTGGCCCTTTCCCACGCCAGTGGCCCGGGGAAGCCACCCCCGTGTGGCTCGGTCTGCCCTGTGAACCGCCAGGCACCGTAGGGTGAGGGGGTCTCAGCTTGGGCCCCGCCAGGCCTGGGGGTGTGGGGGGTGCTGGGCAGTGGCAGAGCGCAGCCTTTGTCCCCCAGACGAGCCTCCTGGCCAACTGCCAGGCGCCGCGCAGGCCCTGGCTGTCCTCGCACATGAGCACTGTCTTCCTCTCGCTGCTGTGCTTCCCGTCCTTCCTGGGCGCCGCCGTCTTCCTCTGCTACGCCGTCTGGCAGTGAGTCCGGCCGTGCGGCGGGTGGGGGAGCCCGGGGTGCGAGGCTGGGATTGGGGCTGGGGCGGAGAGGCTGGGAGGAGCTGGGGGCCGTCGCCCAGGCTGAGGAGTCCGCTCACCCTCGTCCCCAGGGTGAAGCCCTCGAGCATGTGTGGCCCCTTCCGGAGCCTGGACACCATGTACAGGGCGGGCACGGCCTGGGTGCGCCACCTGGAGGCGGCAGGGCCCCGGCTGTCCTGGCTGCCCTGGGTGCACCGGCACCTGGTGGAAAACACCTTCTTCATCTTCCTGCTGTCGGCCCTGCTGCTGTGAGTCCAGGTCCGGGGGTCCTGGGGGTCCCCGCTGCTCCTGCCTTGGCCGACGGCCCGTCTCCCGCAGGGCTGTGATCTACTTCAACATCCAGGTGGTGAGGGGCCAGCGCAAGGTCATCTGCCTGCTCAAGGAGCAGATCAGCCACGTGAGTGCCCGCCTGCCCCTTCTGGGGACACACCTGGGCAACGCCTCCTCCGCTCACCTGCTGGCCCGTCCCCAGCCCCCACACGCTCTCTCTGGCCTCGGCTGTTGAAAGGGTTGTTTGCCAAACGAGTGGCACGGATCGGATCCGCAGTGCGCTTTGCAGCCAGTGAAGCACAGACGTGAGGCGGCCCCAGCCCGGCTCCTGATCTGCGGCCGGGGGACGGGTTTCCAGCCCCAGGCAGTGGCCCCGATGGGTGCAGACAGTGTCCGTGAGGACTTCTGAGATGTTAGCAATGGCTTTTGGCTTCCAGGGGACCCATGCTGGCACATGGATGCTGTTTACTGCTCTCATTTTACAAACAGGCGAAGTGAGGTTGAAAGGGGGTCAGGCCTTAAAACATTTTTTTTTGTTTGTTTGTTTTTTGGAGACAGAGTCTCGCTCTGTTGCTCAGGCTAGAGTGCTGTGGCGTCAGCTTAGCTCACAGCAACCTCAAACTCCTGGGCTCAAGTGATCCTACTGCCTCAGCCTCCCGAGTAGCTGGGACTACAGGTGTGTGCCACCATGCCTGGCTAATTTTTTCTATATACTTTTAGTTGTCCAGCTAATTTCTTTCTATTTTTTTAGTAGAGTCGGGGTCTTGCTCTTGCTCAGGCTGGTCTCGAACTCCTGAGCTCAAACGATCCTCCTGCCTCGGCCTCCCAGAGTGCTAGGATTACAGGCGTGAGCTACCACGCCCGGCCCCACATTTTTATTTTTTAATTTTTGTTTTTCTTTCATTTTTTTTTTTTTTTTTTGAGATGTGGCCTTGCTATATTGCCCAGGCTGGGCTCAAACTCACAATCCTCCTGCCTCAGCCTCCCACCCGAGTAGCTGGGACTGCAGGTGTGCACCACCATGCCTGGCAAGACAATTTTATTAAGAAAACAAAATAACACGTTTTATGAGACCCCATGGTTTGTCACAGGACTGAGCTGCAGGCGGGGCAGTACTCAGGTGCACCCCCTCATCTCTGGGGCAGCCCTGTTCCCCGCCCTGAGGAGCACCTGCTTGTCCCCCAGGTGGCCCAAGTTGGAGCAAGGGCTCCAGCAGCTGGTCCTGAGCGGGACGTGCTCGCAGGGACAGCTCCCACTTTGCCCGGGCTACAACGCTGCAGCAGACGCTGTCCCGTTGTCTGCCCTTCCTGTAGCCCGATCCGTGAATCTCGGTGGGCTCCCAGGGTGCGGAGTTCGAAGCTGGTGTCTCGGCGGAGGTGGTCTCCTGGCCATAGCTATCAGAAGTGGGTTTTTGGCTCAATGACTCCTGCCCTACTGTGTGGCACTTCAGAACCCAGGGGTGCTGGGTGGGGCCGGGGTGGGGGGTGCAGAGGAGCCTCAGGGGCAGAATCCTGGCTCCACTCGCCGTTTCTGTGGGATCGGAAGGACCGTTCCCGAGGTGGGCGCTGGCTGTGGTGTGCGCCCAGGGCCAGCCCCTGCTGTAGTCTGAGTCTTTGGGGCCAGTGGTCTGAGCTTCCCCGGGGGCTGGGCAGGGCAGCTGAGCTCAAGGGCACACCCTCCAAACACAACAGAAATAGCTCGGGGGTGTTGCTTAAGGGCCCCGGGGGCCCCCTTGCAGGTGTTCTAAGTGTGCTCCTGGGTGGAGCTGCGTTACCAGGTGCCAGAACCACTGTGCTGGGCTCCAGGCCGATCTGAGCAGAGATGGTGGCTGCTGTCCGTTTGGTGTTTATCTGCACTAGGTCCCCTGCTAAATGCTTCATAAACTTGTCATTTTTCATTGTCCAAAGAGCCCTGGGTTGGCCCGGCATGGTGGCTCATGCCTGTAATCCTAGCACTCTGGGAGGCTGAGGCAGGAGGATCGCTTGAGCCCAGGAGTTCGAGGTTGCTGTGAGCTAGGCTGATGCCACGACACTGTAGCCTGGGCAACAGAGTGAGACTCTAAAAAAAAAAAAACAAAAAAAACAAAGAGCCCTGGTCAGCCCAGTACTGACCCCAAAGCTGTGCATGTCCTAAGACAGGAACCTGGCAACCTGCCATGTTATGTGGTCAGGGGATGAAGGTTGCAGGTGGAATTACAGTTGCTAATCAGCTGACCTTGAGATGGGAGATTATGCTAGATTATCTGGGTGGCCCAGTGTAATCTCCGGGTTCTTATGGGTGAAAAAGGGAGGCAGGAAGGTCAGGTCAGATGAGGCCGCGTGAGAGACTCGGCCGGCCGTTGCAGGCTTTGAAGCGGAGGAAGGGGCGGAGAGCCACGGAATGGGGCAGCCTCTAGACGTTGGCAGAGGGCTCGTCCCCTAGACCCGAACCAGCTCTGCTGACACCGTGATTATAGCACAGTGGGCCTCAGTTTGGACTTCTCATCTCCAGAACTGGAAGATGATAAATTTGTATTGTCTTAAGCTATAAAATTTGTGGTAATTTGATACAACAGCAACAGGAAATATAAGCCCCGTGAATTGCATTATTATCTCCCTTTTACAGATGCTGACACTGAGGTCAGAGTGCAGGTAATTTGTCCAAGGTGGAGTTAGTAGGTGGCCAGGTTTAAGTCGAGTCAGGCTGGCTCCGGGCCCTCACTGTGCAGCTGATCACATTTCCTTCTTCACCTTAGCCACTGGGAAGCTTAGATCCACACAAATGCCCACTCCTGGCTCTTGGTTTTTCCTTAACCTTGTTTTGGTGCCTCTTTTACCTCTTTTAGCTTTTTGCTTCTTGTGATGTCAAATGTGCCTCATAAGTCCCCCCAAATGCGTCCTGGAAGAGGGGGGCTCTGGATGGACCCATGGATGGTGGACAACTCTGTTCTCTTCCCCTTGTGTTCTGGTCTTTCTAGGAGGGGGAGGACAAAATCTTCTTAATCAACAAGCTTCATTCCATCTACGAGAAGAAGGAGAGGAAGGAGGGGGAGGAGAGGAGCAGGTGAGGGGCCACTCTGAGCCCTGAGCCGGGGGGGAGAGGGCCGGGCTGGACGGCGTCTCTGGGACATCCGCCCTCCTCCCAGCGGGGGCAGCCACGCGGCGGAGTCGCTGAGGCCCTTCCCTGTGGTTCCTCCTCAGGTGTGCGGGGCGCTCGGGGAAGGAGGAGAGTTAAGTTTGGTGAGGGAGGAAATGGAAATGCAAGACCTGCCCTCAGCGCCCTGTGCCACCCCCGTAAGTCGCTTGGTGCCAGCCTGGCGGGGCCTCCTCCCTGTGGGATCAGTGCCTGTTACCGGGGCAGACGTCTGGTGCCTGCGGTTAGACCTAGGGAAAGGAGATGGCCGGGACGCAGAGGCTTGTGAAGTTCAAAAGCACTCTTGTCGCGGGAGGGGCCGTTGAGGCAGGCCATCTTTGCAGGGACCTGACAACAGGAGGGCGGGTGGTGTGACAGCCCCCGGCCGCGGGGTGGCCCGACCCATGAACAGGTGCACACACACTCATGCGCACCCAGAGGCCTGTTTCTTTCCCTTTCTTGGTCCCCCGGCCTGGGGGGCAGGCTGAGGCTGGCCCCTCGGGGAGCTCCTGGGCTAGACCCTGCCCTGGCTGCAGAGCAGCCTGCAGGCCTGAGGCTGCGGCCACCAGGCCTCCTGCAGAGCAGCTGTCTGTGTGCGCCTTCCGCGTTCGGGAGCCTCTCAGAGCAAAACTCAACAGAACAAATACCCTGGGCCCCGAGCTAGCCCAAGGGGGACCCCAAGGTCAGGCACGAGGCCTCACCCTCTGGGCCTCAGGAGACTCTGCAGGGCCCTGCCTCAGTTTCCCCCTATGGAGGAGGGATCAGTGCTCCCAGGCCCCACTGCTGGGGTGCACGAAGCGCCCCTTGGCCCCCTGCCTGTGACGGTGCATCGGCGGCCGCTGGGCTACGCTGTGTGAAATTGCTGGAACCCGACCACATTTGACCCCGGAAGAGGCAATCTCATGAGGTCCAGCACCCCCACGTTAAATACCTCAGAGGTGGGTCCTTGCGGTGTCTCCCAGCCTTTGCCCGGCCTGCCCTGGAGCTCTCTAGACTCTTCTTTGGAAGCTGTTGGGCGTCGGCCTGTCCCTCGCTGGCCCGGCCACACTGAGGTTGGCTCTGCCCAGCCTGGTCGGTGGGGCCCCTTGCTGACGTCCCTTCTGGAAGGGCTGGTAGCACCCAGGAGGCTGCGACCCCCTTGCCCTGCTCGCAGAAGAAGGGGACACCTGGTGGGACAGCAAGAGGTTCAGCAGGCTCACTCAGCGCCCTGGGTCACCCTCTGCCCCACGGCACAGACTCCAACATGAGACCACGCTGGCTCCTCAGTGACCTTGCCAGGACACCAGGATGACGAAGTGACTCCGCTTCCCCTTTGGAAAGCGGGGGCAAGCGGAGCTCGGGCACCCCCCGTGACCCTGCCCTGCCCTGACTCTATTTATTCTGATTAAATGGGTTTTGCAAAGTGGGCTTGTCCCTTGGGACTCTGCTCGTGACTTGGGCCTGCCCTGATGTGCGCAGGTGCTGGCAGGTGCTGTGTCCACATTCTTCCTCCTGTCGCCTGGGGCCACCTCCTGGGCTTCATTGCGGGGAGCTCAGCTGGGCCAGGGCGCCCTCTGCTGGCCAAGCCCCAGCTGGCAGGGGCAGGAACCCTGCGCACCACCCGTGGACACTGCCCTTGGTCTGCCTGACCCGTGCCCGGAGGGGCTTCCATTGCATGGAAGGGGGGCACAGGCTGTGTCCAGAGCAGTAAGTCAACCAGCGGGTGATGCCTTAGCGGTTATTGCGGCAAGAGGAGGGAGGCAAAATTAGGGTGCAACACTGGGGATGGGACGATGACATTTTCGTTGCAGATGAGCTGTCGGGGGTAGGCGGGTAGGGAGGAGTATCTCCAAGGCAAAGGGGCAGCCAGTGCCCAGGCCCTGAGGCAGACAGGCCTGGGAGGGGCGGGTTCCCTGCTGGCTGGCTTGGAGGGTGGTGACCCTGGGTCCAGCCAGCCAGGCTGAGTTTGAGGAGCCCGTGGGATGGCCTGGGGCTGTGGGGAGTGGGCACGGGGAAGGGGGAACTAGTCAGTTGCTCACAGCCCACGTCTGATGTCTGCAGAGGCTGGGCTCAGGGCTGGGGAATGACCCTGGGTGGGGAAACAGGGTCAAAGTGGAGATGGGCCAGCACTCAGCATTCTAGAGTGGAATTTGGAAAAGAGTCACACTCAGAGTGGGGATGGCCCTGGCCACTAGCAGACCCCCAAGCTGGGCCCATTCTTACCCAATACTGTCCCTTCCCAAGGACAGTCCCAATGAGATGCTCCTGTGCTCTGCAGACACCTAGGGGCAGATGCCAGCGGCTGACGTGGCCCCTGAGGCTCACCTGGCATAAACTCACTTGTGTGGGTCCCCTGCAGTGCCCGACAGGTCAGATTTCCCCAGCTTGTGTGGCCAGTCCAAGCCAGGTGTTGCTTGGGGACCTCTGCAAGTAGCCTGCATTGATCCTGGGTGGCGAATTGTGGCTGCATTTCTGGGCACGAGTGCTGCTGGGTGAGACTGGGTGGGCAGGCCGTGCAGTGCATGGCTGAGCTGGGGTCTCTGGGCCAAATCCATCCAGACACTATCCTCTAAACCTGCGGCAGCCCCCGCCCGCTGGCCACACAGTAGGAGGCAGGTGAACCCCCACCTGCACCAACAGCTGCTCCCCATTGCTCGCATCACCGCCGAGCCCCACCGTCAGGTCGGCGGCGGCATCAGACCCTCAGTAGGAGCCCGAACCCCACTGCAAGCTGCGCATGCGCGAGATGCAGGCTGCGCTCCCCGTGAGTCCAAGGCCTGATGACCCGAGGGGGAGTCAAGCCCGCTACATGGAAAACTGTCTTGCAGGAACCCAGTCCCCAGTGTCAAAAGGGTTGGGGACCGCTTGACTCAGCATTGTCATCAGCTGTGATTTGGTGAACCCACTTCACTGGCCTCACAACTCCTCTAGGAGGGCAGGACACGCAGCTCACACGGAGAAGGGGAAGAACCTGCCCGGGACATGTCTGTGGAATCACCGCGTGTGCCGGGCAGGCCTGTGCGCACTGGGTCAGGCAGTAGCAGCCAGTGACTCAGTCAAACACCAGCCTAGGTGTTCCTCTGAAGGCATGCTGTGAATGTATCAGCTGATTCGAAGTAAAGGACATTATTTTTGGTACAAAAAAAAAAAAGCTAGCTATAGCTGCCCAGTGAGACCAACTTAAGACTTGGAAATTGAGGGGGGAACCAAGGGCAACACACGTTACCTAAACATCTGTACACCCATAATTTGATGAAATAAATAAAAAAAAATGAAAAAAAAAATTAAAAAAAGGTTAGCAAGGAAAAAAAAAAAAAAAACTCGGAAATTGCCAGCTGCCGTCCCAGTGGATCCTTGACAATGACAATGACAGTTCAGGCTGAATGACAAGGCTCCTCTGTGCCACTGCTTCTCAGTGTCGGCTGCACGCTGGAACCCACTGGGGAGGTTTTAGAAACACGGCTGCCCAGGGTCCACACCCAGAGATCCGAGTTGGTTTGGATGTGTCCAGCATGGGGATTTAAAACATTTCTAGACAATTCTAACATGGGCCAAGGCTGAGAACCCCTGTTCTGGGACCCATCTAGCACTGGACCGTCCCAACACACACACTCAGGCCAGAGGCTTGGGGAGGCGTTTGGAAACGCGTCTGGTTTTCATGGTGGGGAGGCCAGGCCCACGCGAGGAAGGCGCGTCAGCGGGCGTCCTCGACAAACTCCGAAGTGCAAAGCTAGGAAGGCAGCTGCTGCCCTCGCGGTCCTGCTCAGGCCTCCTTGCTCTGACCAGGCGCTGCTCCTGCAGAGTCTTCTTCAAGTGCCCCGTCTCCGCCTCCCTTCCCACGGTCAGATCTGCCTTCTGCGTCACTGGAGTCAGGCTCCCCATGACACTCCTGCTTCTGGCAGCTTCTCCTCCTGTCTCCACAGCCTTCTTTGCGCACCGTGCTGCCACCCGCTGGGCGCCTGTTTCCATGGTGTTAAAACAGAGGGAAGCTCCGCATCTGTGGTTTTCTTTTCGCACCTGGGCACCAGGAACACCTGCCCCACGAGGCCTCGCATTGGGTCTTCACGTGGGGTCCTGGCTTATGTTGTGCTTCCTGCCTGTCCCCCGAGGCCCCCAGTCTGTCAAAATCCAATTCAGCCTCTTGGGCCCAGGGCACATGCCACCTCCTCCAGGAAGACTGCTGCATCCTTTGGACGTCCTCAAGGCGCTCACCTGGTTCTCCCGGGTGGGGCACAGGCGCTGGCGCAGAAGCTGGATGCGTCAGGCACAAAGCAAACATCGCCGAGGGGCTGGCTCGCAGAGCTGGGAGCTGCCTCCAGGTCTGCGCTAGTTTGGAACGGCAGGAGCATTCCGACCTTCCTGTTTCCGAAGTTTCATTCTTGCTCTAGCGTTTAGTTTCTTCTCCTGATTAGGACTCACTCAGTGCTTTCCTTCTCCATTTCCAAGAGAGGCTGGTCAGAGCCAGCAGCTCCCGGCCTTCCCTGCGGGGCCAGGGTGGGGTGGTGGTGGCGGTTCCATCTTCTCCATACGCGGGATCGACACACGGGAGGCAGGTCTACCTTTGACACCGCCCCAAGGAGTGGAGGCGGAATGACACTCATTCTGTTAGTCTCCGAGTGAGGGTCCCCACGGGCCTTCGTCTTCAAGAGACCACGCTGCTGAGCTGGAAGCACTGACGCTAGACGTGTTCAGGGTCGTGGTGAGTGTTCCAGGAATGGACCTGAGAAAACAAACCCAAGTGCCGTGGCGAGAATGGTGCTGCTTCGCCCAGCACCGGAAGCTGCGTGGTACAAAGCGCTCTGTGAAAATTAACTAAGGCGACTTCACAAGGGTAAGTGGATAAATGTCTGTGAATCACAAAAGACCTTCATTACTCTCTTCTCTCCAAATATGTCCATGTCCACGCTGGGTCCTGGGCACAGGTGAGCGGGGATCCTCCACAGGGCTCTGAGCAGGCCCTGGCCACGGCCTGCCGCCATCCTGGACGAGACTGGTGACCAGACGCAGCAGATGCAGACGGGCACCGCAGTGGAGCCTGGAGGCTCTGCTGAGCTCTCAGCTAACATTAATGAGTGTCGACAGCAAAGCTGCAACACACGTGGTAACATACAAGTCAAGCAACTGAAATTCTAAGTTTAATATATGTAAACTGAGGACATCATAAAAGGAAACAGGAAATACACACATGGCAGGACGACATTTTTCCCAATTTCAGCATACAAAGTGAAAACTGATAATATCTGTCTTCGAAAAGTAGAACACATTAATTTGAACAGCCAAGGAAAAAATTGCAATTTATTAAGATTCAACAAAGCGTTGTACTTTTGAAAGCAACTTTCGGTGCATGTTCTTCAACAATCACATTCTATGAGGAAAAACATTAAGAGCCACAAACTTGTTTTTTAATCTGAGAGTTACAGACATCTTAAATTCAAAATAAAGGTAAAAACAGAACAAAAAATCAAACAAACCCAACAAAATCCGAAAACAAGCAGATTCCTTACTTCCATCCCCAATTTTAAAACATCAGGAGTTTTTCTACAACTCAGTGCTAACTGGCAGCACGGGAGCTGTATGTCTGGGAGCACACACACGCGCACACGCACGCACACACACATGTATTTGATATACATATGCAGGTACACATACATCGAATATACAGATGCATGTCGTATGTAATGGCAATGAGATGCAGCCGCTCTGAGGAAGGTTCGTTCCGCTAAATACACTACTGAACTCGAGAAGAAAAGTCTTGAACCCAGTTTGTGCATAGTTCATGATCCTCTATAAAACCAGCTTTTGTTGACCCGCAATCTTGCAGGACTTTTTTTTTTCTTTTTTGTTTTTTTGTTTTCTTTTGATAAAACCATTAAAAAGCTAATTAAAAAAAATGTAATGCACAAGTTTCCTGATCAAGCAGGCAGGGAGCACAATGTTCATATATTTTTTTTTAAAACATACTTGAGGGTATGTTATTCCATTGTCTTTCTTCCTTGCAAAACAATCAAAACATTGATCATTTTTAAAACATAAAGCAATTTTTAATATATAAAGCACTCTTCAAACATCTATTTCTTTTGAGTCCATTATTTGGTAAATATGTAACTGCTACACATTAGAGATTAGGTATTTTTGTCTTTGTGTTTTTTTTTTCTTTTTTCTTTTTTTCTTTTTTTAATTTTTTATTTTTTAATAACATCTTCAGTGCTAGGAGTTGGGTGTAAAAATACACGAAATGGTGTGGAGCTGCCCTCGGGAGCCCTGGCTTTCCTGAGCGCGTCCGGCATGTGCAAGACAGTGGCCACAACGCCTCGCCACTTTGACGAAGGGGCGGAAACCATCGACAGAGTCCACGACGACGGCCGAGGGGACAGCACTGTCCGATCCCAGAGCTCTGAAGTAGCGCATCTGCATTCT